ATAGAGAGACCAGAAGCCATGGGTGCCCATAGAGAGACCAGAGCTCATGGGGGGCCCATAGAGAGACCAGAGCCCATGGGGGCCCATAGAGAGACAGAGCCCATTGGGGCCCATAGAGAGACCAGAGCTCATGGGGGCCCATAGAGAGACCAGAGCCCATGGGTGCCCATAGAGAGACCAGAGCTCATGGGGCCATAGAGAGACCAGAGCCCATGGGGCCCATAGAGAGCCCAGAGCCCATGGGTGCCCATAGAGAGACCAGAGCTCATGGGGGCCCATAGAGAGACCAGAGCCCATGGGGGCCCATAGAGAGACCAGAGCTCATGGGGGCCCATAGAGAGCCCAGAGCCCATGGGTGCCCATAGAGAGACCAGAGCTCATGGGGGCCCATAGAGAGACCAGAGCCCATGGGTGCCCATAGAGAGCCCAGAGCCCATGGGTGCTACATGGAGAACCCCAGAGCCCCCCCCCAGCACCCATGGTTGGCCATATCCTCCACCCAGCACCCATGGGTTCCCTTACGCCCCCCCCGCAAAGCACCCATGGGTGCCCATACCCCCCAAGCACCCATGGGTGTCCATACACCCCCTTCCAGCACCCATGGATGCCCTTACCCCCTCCCCCCTCCCCCATGGGTGCCCATACCCCCCAAGCACCCATGGGTGTCCATACACCCCCTTCCAGCACCCATGGATGCCCTTACCCCCTCCCCCCTCCCCCATGGGTGCCTATACCCCCCAGCACCCATGGGTACCCTTATCCTCCCTCCAGCACCCATGGGTGCCTCACCTGCTGGTCTGGCTGCATCTTGCGCCCCACCAGGCGGAAGCCATGGGTGCCGGGGTGATGGAAGAGCTGGACACAGCTCAGGGCCTGCGGGCCCCCCCCCGCCGGCACCCACTGCTTCTGGGGGTCATCGTAGAGCAGCACGGCCGCCCGGGCGCTGCACAGCACCCGTTCACTGCAGGGGGGGGACGGGACCGGGGGCACCCATGGGTGCTGGGGACCCCACTATAGGGACCCAATTACAGGACCCCTGCCCCCCCCATTGTAGGGACAACTCCCCCCCCGGACCAGCCCTGGGGCACCCCCGGACGCTGCCCCCCCCTTCCCACCCCCCTTTTCCTTCCTCTTCTCCCGGGGCCGCCACATCCGGGAGCAGGGGGACGGGAGGGGGACGGGCCCCGGTGTTCCCCCCCTGAGTCCCCCTTGGGACCGGGACCGGCTCCCGGTGCTCCTGGTATCCCCCAGGGCCCTTCCCGGCGCTTCCCAGTGCTCCCAGTGCCCATTCCCGGTGCTCCAGTGCCCCTTCCCGGTGCTTTCCGGTGCCTCCACTACTCCCAGTGCTCTCCGGTTACAGTTCCTAGTATTCCCGGTGTTCCCAGTGCTGTCCGGTTCCAGTTCCTAGTATTCCCGGTGTTCCCAGTGCTCCCCGGTTCCAGCTCCCGGTATTCCCGGTGTTCCCGGCGCCCCCGGTTCCAGCTCCCGGTATTCCCGGTGTTCCCGGTGCCCCCCGGTCCAGCTCACGGTATTCCCGGTGTTCCCGGTGCCCCCCGGTTCCAGTTCCCGCTATTCCCGGTGTTCCCAGTGCCCCCCGCAGCCGGTTCCCGGTATTCTCGGTGCATCCCGCTTCCATTTCCCGGTGTTCCTGATACCCCCCAGTGCCAGTTCCGGGTATTCCCGGTGTTCCCGGTTCCCCCCCGTTCCAGTTCCCGGTATTCCGGCGTTCCCGGTGTCCCCCGGTTCCAGTTCCCGGTGTTCCTGGTATTCCCTATGCTCCCGCCCGGCCGCTCACCTCATGCTGGCAGCGGCGACGCTAGGGCCAGGCCGGGCCCTTCCGGTAGCGGCGACCGGGGGGGGGAGAAGGACCGGACAGTCCCGGCCCGAGGCCACGCCCCCCCACACAAGGCCACGCCCCACCGGAGCCCTGTGCCTGGTGCTGGTTCCCGGTGCCCCGTGCACGGATCCCGGCTCTGGTTCCCGATGTCGGTTCCCAGTTCCCTGTTCCCGATCCCGGTGCCTTGATCCCGGGCCCGGGGCTCGGATCCCCGGTTCCCTGTTCCCGATCCCGGTGCTCGGATCCCGGTCCCGACGCTCGGATATCGGGCCCGATGCCCGGATCCCGGTGCTCGAATCCCGGTCCCGGTGCCCGGATCGGGTGCTCGGATCCCGGTGCCCGGATCCCGGTCCCGGATCCGATCCCGGTGCTTGGATCCCGATTCCTGTTCCCGATCCCGGTTCCCTGTTCCCGGTTCCCGATTCCCCGGTCCCCTTCGGTCCGCCCCGGGCCCCGCCCGCCGCCGCCCCGCCCCCGGCGCCGCGGCCGCCGCCGCCCTTTGTCCGCTGCCGTTGCCGCGGGCCCGCCATGGCGGAGCGGTGATGGGCGGCGGGGCCGGCCCGGCGATAACGGGGCCGAGGGGAACCGGGAGCCTCATGCAGGGGCCGCCGCCATGGGGCAGGTCCTGGGCTTCGCCCACTGCAGTAGGAACCGGGAACCGGGGGCAGGGAGGGGGGGACGGAGGCACCGGGAGCGGCTGCGGATGAAGAGGACTGGAATCGGGAGGGATGAACCGGGAGGGCCCGGGGATGGGGAAGCGGGAACCGGGGAGGTGCCGGGGATGGGGGAATAGGCATGGAGAACGAGGAGAGACCGGGTATGTGAGCGCCAGGAATGGGGAACCGGGGGGACCGGGGATGGGGAACCGGAGTGGCCGGGAATGGGAGCGCCGCGGAGGGGGGAACCGGGAACTGGGAGGGACCGGAGGGGGGGGGGGGGGGGGTTAACCGGGGCACTGGTTAGGGAATGGGGGGACGGGGAGGATCCGAGGACAGGGATAACAGGGCGGAGGCACCGGGAGTGGCCGGGATTGGGGGTATCGGGATGGAGGGACCGGGGGATGGGGGATAACGGGGATGTGGGTACTGGGGATGCAGGTATCGGAAATGGAGGGACCGGGGATGTAGGTACCAGGGATGCGAGTACCGAGGATGTGGGTACCGGGATGCGGGTACCGGGATGCGGGTACTGAGGATGTGGGTACCGGGATGTGGGTACCGGGATGAGGGAATGGGAATGGGGGCTACCGGGGATCCGGGGCCCGGGACACCGGAGATAGGGCGTGATGGGGGGGGGGGGGGGGAGTGCTGGAGCCGGTTTGGGGGTTCCGGAACACGGGGGTTCCCCACGGTCCCCCCCACACCCTTTGTGTGTGTGTGTCCCCACAGAAGAGGCTCCGTCCACGGCCTCCACCACCCCGGACTCCACGGAGGGTGAGTGGGGCCGAACCCCCCCTTTGGGGGTGCAGATTTGGGGGGGGAAGGGGGAAACCCCAACCCCCCACCTTGACGCCCCAAAACCCCCCAAAGGTGGCCCCGAGGAGCCCCGAGTTCCCCCCCGAGCTTGCAGTGGCCCCGGAGCCCCCCGAGGAGGAAAGAGGAGGATGAAGATGGGGGGACTTCCCCCCGGACCCCCCCCCCGCGAGCTCACCTTCTCCTACATCGCCTTTGGAGGGGGGGCAGCGCCCCAACAGAACCGGGACCCCGCTGCCGCCGGGACCCCCGCCGGAGCCGCCCCCCCCGCCTGAGCTCGGGCCCCGCCCCCCGGGGGCTGGACCCCCATTTAGGGGTCAGAGCCCCCCAAAGCGGCTTGGGACCCCCCGCCCCCCCCCGAGGGGCGGCTGGAGGTGGGGGGGGCCCTGCCGGTGGGGGGGGGGGCGAGATGGAGGAGCCCTCGATGAGGCCAGGTATGGGGGGCATGGGGGTGCCTAAGGGGGTCATTGGGGGTCATGGGGGGGGTCCCCAAGGGGGCGCTGGGGGTCGTGGGGACACCTCAGTGGGGGGCTGGGGGCAATAGGGGGGGTCTCAAGGGGAGCCGGGGCAATGGGGGGTTAAAGGAGGGAAGGGGGGCCATGGGTGCGGTCCCTAAGGGGGGGCTGGGGAGATATGGGGGGGCCCCAATGCGGACTCGGTGCCATAGGGGGGCCTGGGGGGGGTCTCGGGTCCGGGGGGTCCCATAACCCTTTAACCCCCCCATTCCCTCAGCAGCCCCCCCCCAGCCCGCAGGGGGCGCCCGCAGCCGGCCCGCCCCGCGCCCCCTCCGGACCCCCCGCCGACCCCGGACCCGCCTCCTGCGCCCCCCGACCAATCAGCGAGCCCGGCGGGCCCTGATGTGCTGGGTAAGCAGCCAATCAGCGCCCCGGGGCGCGGCGCGGGGGGGGGCTCCCGGCGGGGGGGGGCCCGGGGTCCGGTTGCGGGGAGGACCCGAGCGGCGGCGAGGGATTGGCCGCTAAAAATAGGGGTGACCCCCCCGGCAGCGCCAGCGGGAGCCATGGAGAGACAGGGTGGGGGGGCACCGGGCAATGGGGGGCAATGGGGGTGCCAGGGGGCACTGGGAGCACTGGGAGGTCTCCAGGGGGGTACTGGGAGGAGTGGGGGTCACTGAGGGGTTACTGGGGGGAGGTACTGGGGTTACTGGGAGGCACTGGGGGGGCACTGGGGCTACTGGGAGCAGTGAGAGGCAATGGGGGGCACTGGGAGCACTGGGGGCAGTGAGATGCAGTGGGATGCAGCAGAGGGTTAAGTGGGATGCACTGGGGGTTCATTGGGATGGACTGGGATGCACTGGAATGCGGGGGGGGTCATTGCACACTGCCCCGCAGTGTGGGAGCTGCTGCACGGGGGTGCACTGGGGGTCACTGGGATGGACTGGGATGCAATGGGATGCAGGGTGGGGGGTCATTGGGATACACTGGGATCCAATGGACTCACTGGGATGCACTAGGGGTTCATTGGGATGAACTGGGATGCACTGGGATGCAGGGGGGGGTTATTGCACACTGCCCTGCAGTGTGGGAGCTGATGCAAGGGGATGCACTGGGGGTCACGGGGATGCACTGGGATCCAATGGGATGCACTGGGATGGGGGGGGTGGGTCATTGGGATGCACAGGGGGGTCATTGGCTCTGTCCCCGCAGTGTGTGAGCTGCTGCACTGGGATCCAATGGCGGTTCACTGGATGCCCTGGGATCCATTGGGATGCACTGGGGATCCATTGGGATGCAGTGGGACCCATTGGGAGGCACTGGGATGCATTGGGATGCACTGGGATCCACTGGGATGCATGGGATCGTTGGGATGCACTGGGGATGGATCGGGATCCAATTGGAGGCACTGGATGCATTGGGATGCACGGGTATCCATTGGGATGCACTGGGATGGATCGGGATCCAATTGGATGCACTGGGATGGATCGGGATGCATTGGGATCCATTGGGATGCACTGGGATGGATCGGGATGCATTGGGACGCACTGGGATGGATCGGGATGCACTGGGATGCACTGGGATGGATCGGGATCCATTGGACGCACTGGGATGGATCGGGACGCACTGGGCTGCAGTAGACCTATTGGGACGCACTGGGATGGATCGGGATGCATTGGGCTGCAGTGGGATGGATCGGGATGCATTGGGCTGCAGTGGGACCCATTGGACGCACTGGGATGGATCGGGATGCATTGGGATGCACTGGGATGGGTCGGGATGCATTGGGATGCACTGGGATGGATCGGGACGCACTGGGCTACAGTGGGATCCATTGGGATGCACTGGGACGCACTGGGATGGATCGGGGTGCACTGGGATGGATCGGGATGCATTGGGCTGCACTGGGCTGGATCGGGACGCACTGGGCTGCAGTGGGGTGGATCGGGACGCACTGGGGTGGATCAGGACGCACTGGGCTGGGTCGGGACGCGCTGGGGTGGGCCGGGACGCACTGGGGTGCAGTGGGATGGATCGGGACGCACTGGGATGCACTGGGGTGCAGTGGGATGGATCGGGACGCACTGGGGTGCAGTGGGATGGATCGGGACGCACTGGGGTGGGCCGGGACGCACTGGGGTGCAGTGGATGGATCGGGACGCACTGGGATGGATCGGGACGCACTGGGGTGGGCCGGGACGCACTGGGCTGGGTCGGGACGCACTGGGACGCACTGGGGTGCAGTGGGATGGATCGGGACGCACTGGGATGCAGTGGGATGGATCGGGACGCACTGGGACACACTGGGGTGGGCCGGGACGCACTGGGATGCAGTGGGATGGATCGGGACGCACTGGGACACACTGGGGTGGGCCGGGACGCACTGGGGTGCAGTGGGATGGATTGGGACGCACTGGGACGCACTGGGCTGGGTCGGGACGCACTGGGATGCAGTGGGATGGATCGGGACGCACTGGGATGGATCGGGACGCACTGGGATGCACTGGGATGGATCGGGACGCACTGGGATGGATCGGGACGCACTGGGATGGATCGGGACGCACTGGGGTGCACTGGGACCCTTTGGGGCGCTCATCCCGGCTCTGCCCCCGCAGTGTGGGAGCTGCTGCACTGGCGGGACCCCGCGCGCTCGGCGCTGGTGCTGCTCGCGCTGCTGGCGGGGCTCGGCTGCCTCGCGCGCTTCAGCGCCGTCAGCGTCGGCGCCTACGGGGCCCTGGCGGTGCTGGCGGTGACGCTGCCCCGGCGCCTGCACCAGGGGGCGCTGCGGGCGCTGCGGCCGCACCCGGCCCCGCGGTGAGTGAGGGCCCCTCCCCCGCCCCCGGCCCTATGGGCGGACCCATCCCCAAGGTCCCAATGGGGTTCCTTCCCCCCTTCACCATGGGCGCACCCATCCCAAGGTCCCAATGGGGTTCCTTCCCCCCCTTCACTATGGGGCGGACCCATCCCCAAGGTCCCAATGGGGTTCCCCCCTTCACCATGGGGCGCACCCATCCCCAAGGTCCCAATGGGGTTCCCCCCTTCACCATGGGGCGCACCCATCCCCAAGGTCCCAATGGGGTTCTTCCCCCCCTTCACTATGGGGCGGACCCATCCCCAAGGTCCCAATGGGGTTCCTTCCCCCCCTTCACTATGGGCGGACCCATCCCCAAGGTCCCAATGGGGTTCCTTCCCCCCTTCACCATGGGGCGCACCCATCCCCAAGGTCCCAATGGGTTCCTTCTCCCCCTTCACCATGGGGCGCACCCATCCCCAAGGTCCCAATGGGGTTTTCCCCTTCACCATGGGGCAGACCCATCCCCAAGGTCCCAATGGGGTCTTACACCCCCCACCCCCTCCTCCCTTGTCCCTGCCCCATAGGGAGCCGCCGGAGGCCGCGGTGGGGCTGAGCCCCGAGGAGCAGCAGCGCTGGGCCCGGCGCCTCGCCCGGCACCTGAGCGCGGCCACACGCACCCTGGCCCGGCTCTTCCTGGTGCAAAGCGTCCCTGAGTCCCTCAAGGTGGGGATGTGGGGGGATGGGCCGGTGGGGCTGAGGGGATGTGGGACTGGGGAGGATGTGGGGATGGGGGGCTGGGGGGATGTGGGGCTGGGGGTGCCGGGGGTGCCGGTGGCGGTGCTGGTGATGATGGTGGCTCTGGGCACAGTTCGCCTTCTTGTTCTACCTGCTGACCTACGTGGGGGCCGTCTGCAACGGGCTGACGCTGCTGGGAGCCGGTACGGATGGGGTGGGAATGGGGATGGAATGGGAATGGGAATGGGGATGAGGATGGGGATAGGGATGTGATGGGGACAGCAGGGGATTGGGATAGGGGTGGGATGGGGATAGGGATGGGATGAGAATGAGAAAGGGATGAGGATGGGATGGGGGTGGGAATGGGATAGAGATGGGATGGGGATAGGCATGTGATGAGGACAAGAAGGGATGGGGATGGGGATAGGAATGGGTTGGAATGGAGATCGGATGGGGATAGGGATGTGATGAGGACAAGGGATAGGGATGGGATGGAGATAGGGGATGGGATGGGAATGAGAATGGGATGGGGATGGGATGGGGATAGGTCATTGGTATAGGAAACAAGATACATGGATGTAGCATGGGGACAGGGACATAGGAGGGGGATGAGAGATAAAGGACACAGTATGGGGACAAGGTGTGGGGACAGGGACATGGGATGTGGACAAAGGATTTGGGACTGGGACATGGGAGAGGGATGGGACATAAGGGACATGGGGATGGGACACCATGGGGACATGGGATGGGGACACCATGGGGACATGGGATGGGAACACCATGGGCACATGGGATGAGGATGCCATGGGGACATCACGGGCACATGGTGCGTGACGAGCTGCTGCCCACCCAGGCGTCATCTGCGCGTTCACCTTCCCCGTGCTCTACCGGCACCACCAGGTACATGGGGGGGGGGACACAAGGGGGGGACACAAGGGGGTCCCGGCCTCCCCCCCCCCCCATGTCCCCAATTGCTCCCCTGTGCCCCCAGGCCCAGATCGACCAATACGTGACCCTGGTGCGGAGCCACCTGAGCCACCTCCGGGCCAGGTCAGAGCCACCCCCCCGCACCCCAAACCCACCCCTGCCCCCCCCCCCGGAACCTCTTCGGGGGGGGGGAGGTTATGGGGTGCCCCCGGGGGGGGTTGTGGCTCTCCACCCCCCCCCAGCTCCACTCTCCCGCAGGATCCAGGCCAAGCTCCCCAGTGCCAAAGCCAAGCCGCAGTGACCCCCCCGTGTGCCCCCCCCCCGCCCGAGGTGACAGCGGAGGGGGGGGGGAAGGAGCCGGGGTCCCCCCCGGCCCCCCCGTCCTGTGGGGGGGGACCCACTTTAATAAAGACTCTTGTGACAAGCGGGGTGCATCTGGGGACGGGGGGGGGGGTAAAGGGGGGGGGCTGAAGGGGGGGGGTCACTGGGTGACCCCCGCGTGACCCTGTGGACCCCTGTGACCCCGCCGTGCCCTCCGCCAGCGCCGCGGAACGCGCCGGAGCCCGGCGGCGCAAGCCCCGCCCCTTTCCCACCCTGACCGCGCCCCCCTCGTTCGGGCCCTGGCCCCGCCCCTCTCCGTTGCCAAGGTCACGGCGGTTGCCGCGCGACGTAAACACGGGACGCCGGACGTGCTGACGTCACCGCGCATGGAACGCCGTCGCCGGGCGACACGAGCGTGTTTACAGCGGGGGGGGGGGGGTTTGTGTGTGGAAGAGAGCGAATGGGATAGGGACCGGGATAACGGGATAGGGACCGGGATAACGGGATGGGGACCGGGATAACGGGATAGGGACCGGGATAACAGGATAGGGACCGGGATACAGGGACCGGGATAACGGGATAGGGACCGGGATAACGGGATGGAGACCGGAATAACGGGATAGGGACTGGGATACAGGGACCGGGATAACGGGATAGGGACCGGGATAACGGGATGGGGACCGGGATAACGGGATAGGGACCGGGATAACGGGATGGGGACCGGGATAACGGGATAGGGACCGGGATAATGGGATGGGGACCGGGATACAGGGACCGGGATACAGGGATAGGGACCGGGATAACGGGATAGGGACCGGGATAACGGGATGGGGACCCGGGATAACAGGATGGGGACCGGGATACAGGGACCGGGATAACGGGATAGGGACCAGGATAACGGGATAGGGACCGGGATACAGGGACCGGGATACAGGGATAGGGACCGGGATAACGGGATAGGGACCGGGAAACACAGGGATGGGGACCGGGATAACGGGATAGGGACCGGGATACAGGGATAGGACCGGGATACAGGGATGAGGACCAGGATACAGGGATGGGGACCGTGATATTGGGACACCGGGATATGGGACACTGGGACACAAGGATACAGGGATACAGGGATATGGGGACAGGGGTACCAGAACTCCGAGGGGAACCCGGCCAGGAAAGGAACAAAGACAGGGACACCGAGGAGAGCCCGTCCGGACCGGGACACCGGGACGGATGGAGGCAGGGACACAGAAGCTGGGACAGGGACACCGGGATAGCGGGACACGGGGGGAACCCGGCCGGACCCCGAGACACCGGGACCTGGAGGGAACCAGTCTGCGACCGGGATACCGGGCTGGGATACTGGGGAGAGCCCGGCCGAGACCAGGGTACCGGGACAGTGGAGGTAACCCGGCCGGATCCATAGACACCGGGATACAGGCACCGGGACAGGGATACTGGAATACCGGGACTGGGACCAGGACAGGGATACAGGAACCAGGACAGGGATATTGGAATACCGGGACTGGAACCAGGACAGGGATACTGGAACCAGGACAGGGATACGGGAACACCGGGACTGGGGACCCCGGGATAAACAGGACACTGGGACTGGGTCACCGTGATCTGGGAGGAACCTGGCCGTGACACCGGGACACCGGGACTGGAACCGGGAAAGGGACCCCGGGGGGAATGGAAGCAGGACACCGGGACAACGGGGAGAGCCCGGCTGGGACCGGGACAGGGACACCGGGGCTGAGATCCCAGGGGACACCAAACGGGAACAAGGGGACACCACCGGGACACCACCGGGGTTGCCCCACCCCCCCGGCCCCGCCCCCCCGCACTGGGGGCGGGACTTGCCCTGATGAATAAACGACCGATGAATGAATGAATGAATGAATGAATGAGGGGGCGTGGGAACGGCTCCCCCCCCCCCCCCCCCCCGTGGCCCCACCGTGACTCAGCGACGGTTCCCGCCGGTGACATCAGACCCCGGTGTCCAATAACGGGACCGGACACCCCCACAAGGGAGGCTCCGGTTGGTCGGGACCCCCCCCTCCCTCCATGGACCGTGGCCCTGCACCCCGGGAACGGGACCGCACTCCCGGTGTGCGCCCCCCCCGTTACCGGATCCCTCCCGCCCCCATCAGTGGGGTCAATGGCCGGGGCCGGGGCATCCCCCCCCCGGGATGATCCTTTAGGAGTTACCGGGGGTTAAAGGGGGTTTCCGGAGGGGGGGTTACAGGAGGGGAAAAAGGGGTCATGGGGGGGGGCACCCGGGGGGGTCAGCGGGGGGGGGGGGGGTCGCGGGGGCGTTACCGGGGGGTCACCAGGGAGTCACCGGCGTTGGGGCCCGGACGGTTCAGGCCGTTTCTAGAACCGCGGCTGCCGTTTCTATTAATACGCGTTTTCGGCGGCGGCGGCGGCGGCGAAGGGATTCCCTGTGACGTCATTGCTAGGATACCAAACAAACACTCCGAGACAAGCCCATATATGGCTAATTGCGTCACAGGAACTCCGGAGGGGGCGGGGCGAGGGATCCCCCCCGTTCCCCGCCCGTCGCGGAGCCTCTTAACGGCGGCGGCGGCTCCAGGGGCCTCAGAACGACGGCGGCGACGGTGGCGGCGGCGACCGCGGGGTCCGGAGGGTCCCGGGGGTCCCGGGACAGCGGCAGCGGGGGCCGTGACGTCAGCGCGGGGGGCGGAGCCTCGCCGTATAAAGTGCCGGCGCGGCGGGCGAGCGGTTCATTCATAAAATAGCGGAGAGAGGGGGGCGAGCGGCGGGGACTGGGCTCAACCGGACTTTGCACCGGCGGATTGGATGTACCGGGGCTCGTAACGGCCGGACCGGAGCCTGGGAAGGGATTTACCGGAGCCTGCAGCGGCTCGACCGGGACTTTGCACCGGAGATCCGGGGGACGGACACGGCAGGGTTGATAGAGGCGAAGCGGGGCTTTCTGTCGGATAACCGGAGCCTGGCACGGACTCACCGGGGGTTATAGCAGCGGAGCGGGGCTTTCAACCGACAACCGGAGCCTGGCGCGGCCGAACCGGGGCCTTATACAGGACAACCGGAGCCTGGCACGGACGCACCGGGGGTTATAGCAGTGAACCGGAGCCTGGCACGGACGCACCGGGACTCCTAGCGGCTGCACGGGAGCTTGGAGTAGCGAATCGGAGCTTTCTACCGGAGACCCAGAGCCTGGGACGGGCACACCGGGGCTTATAGCAGCGAACCGGAGCTTTATACGGGACAACCGAACCCTGGGACCAACGCACCGGAGCTTACAGCAGCGCTCCAGGGCTTTGCACCGGAGACCCAGAGCCCGGCAGGGGCGAACCGGCGCTCGCAGCGGCTGCCCCGGGGCCCGAACTGACCCCGTTCACCGGGGGGGGTGCCCGGGATGCCGGTAGCGTGACCCGCAGCCTTGGCGCGGCGGGGCGGCCCCCGCGGCCCCGGGGCCATGTACCAGGGCTTCCCCGGGGACTACGACTCGGGCTCCCGGTGCAGCTCCTCCCCCTCGGCCGAGTCCCAGTACCTCTCCTCGGTCGATTCCTTCGGCAGCCCCGCGGCGGCGGCGGCGGCGGCGGCGGCGGCTCAGGTGGGCGCTTGCGCGGCGGCGCCGGCAGGGGGCGGCCGTGAGCGGCTCTTGGTTGGGTGGCGGCGGCGGCGGTGGTGGGGGGGGCGGAGAGGGCGGGGTCGTGCGTAAACGGCGTGACGCGCGCGCGGGGAGCCCGCCGTGATGACGCGGCGCACGTACGGCGCGCGCGGGGCTATTTTAGACACCGCCACCCCCCCCCCCGGGAGTTTGTTGCTAGGCAACGGGGAGTTGGGGGAGGGTGTGGGGAGCCACGCCCCCTCCCGCGTGGCCACGCCCCCCTCTCCTTCGGCGCTGCTGCGCCCTCTGCTGGCGCATTGCCGCACTAGCGCACCCCCAAAAAGGGTGAATGGGGGGGTGTCGAGCATCCCCCCCGTTATAATGGGTCCCGGTGATACCGGGGGGGGGGGGTTCAACACCAACCAGCCCCTGGAGGGGGCATGGGTGCCCCCCCACCCCGTTTTCGGGGTGCTGGTGGGGGTTTAGGGGGTCCCCATCCTCTTAAAGGGGAAAGGGGTGCATAGGGCAGATGCCGAGGTGGGGGGGGGAATGGTGCATGAGGGCACGGTGTGGCTGGGGGGGGGCTTGCACAGGGGTGCTGGGGCACGAGGGTGGCATAAATCAGTGCTAGGGACTCGAGGGCATCATTGCACAAAGGTACCAGGGACTTGAGGGCATCGTTGCACATGGGTACCAGAGCATGAGACAGTTGTGCATCAGTGCCAGGGACATAAGAGTGGTGTAAATCAGTGCCAGGGACTCAAGGGCATCATTGCACAAGGGTACCACGGACTTGAGGGCATCATTGCACATGGGTACCAGAGCATTGAGACAGTTGTGCATCAGTGCCAGGGACATAATAGTGGTATAAATCAGTGCCAGGGACTCAAGGGCATCATTGCACATGGGTACCAGGGCATCATTTCACACAGGTATCAGGCATTGAGGGTGGCATAAATCAGTGCCAGGGACTGAAGTGCATCATTGCACATGGGTACCAGGGTACTGAGGGTGGCGTAAATCAGTGCCAGAGACTAAAATGCATCATTGCACATGGGTACCACGGACTTGAGGGCATCATTGCACATGGGTACCACGGACTTGAGGGCATCATTGCACATGGGTACCAGGGAATGAGGCTGTTGTGCATCAGTGCCAGGGGCATAAGGGTGCCGTAAATCAGTGCCAGGGACTCATGGGCATCATTTCACACAGGTATCAGGGCATCAAGGGTGGCATAAATCAGTGCCAGGGACTGAAGTGCATCATTGCACATGGGTACCAGGGCACTGAAGGTGGCATAAATCAGTGCCAGGGGCTCAAGGACATCATTACACAGGGCATGAGGCTGTTGTGCATCACTGCTCATGGGTACCAGGGTATTGAGGGTGACATAAATCAGTGCTAGAGACTTAAGAGCATCATTGCACATGGGTACCAGGGCATGAGGTGGTTGTGCAGCAGTGCCAGGAGCTCTTGCACGTGGGTAGCAGGCACACGAGGTGGCTGCGCACCGGCCCGGGGGCTCTCACCCATGGCTCTGACCCGTTCCATATCCCCACAGGAGTGCGGCGCACTGGGGGACATGCCCGGCTCCTTTGTGCCCACGGTGACGGCCATCACCACCAGCCAGGACCTGCAGTGGCTGGTGCAACCCACCCTCATCTCCTCGGTGGCCCAGTCACAGCCCCCCGGGGCTCCCATGGCGCATCCCCCCCCCCTCGATCCCTATGACCTGCCAGGACCCAGCTACTCCACGCCAGGCATGGGCAGCTTCAGCGCAGCACCGGCACCACCGGCACGGCCCAGCCGCGTGCGGCCCCGGCGCAGCCGCGAGGAGACGGTGAGTGTGGCATGGGACGGGATTGGGGGGGGAGGATGGGGACAGATGGGTCACCAGGCTCATGGTGCTGTCCCTTTGGCAGTTGACGCCAGAGGAGGAGGAGAAGCGCCGGGTGCGCCGGGAGAGGAACAAGTTGGCGGCAGCCAAGTGCCGGAACCGGCGCCGGGAGCTGACAGATCGGCTGCAGGCGGTGAGTGAGAGGGATGGGTGGGGTGGGTTGGAAGGGGGTGGTTGAGTTTGGTTGAATGGGGATGGGTTGAGTTTAGGTAGAAAGAGATGGGCTGGGTTGAGTTGGAAAGGGATGGGTTGAGCTGAGGCCATTGGAAGGGAATGGGTTGAGTTGAGGCCATTGGAAGGGGATGGGTTGAGTTGAGGCCATTGAAACATAATGGGTTGGGTTGAGGCCATTGGAAGAGGACACGTTGAGTTGAGGCCATTGGAAGAGGACACATGGAGTTGAGGCCATTGGAAGAGGACACATGGAGTTGAGGCCATTGGAAGATAATGGGTTAGGTTGAGGCCATTGGAAGAGGACGGGTTGAGTTGAGGCCTTTGGAAGAGGACGGGTTGAGTTGAGGCCTTTGGAAGAGGACGGGTTGAGTTGAGGCCTTTGGAAGAGGACGGGTTGAGTTGAGGCCATTGGAAGAGGACGGGTTGAGTTGAGGCCATTGGAAGAGGACGGGTTGAGTTGAGGCCATTGGAAGAGGACGGGTTGAGTTGAGGCCATTGGAAGAGGACGGGTTGAGTTGAGGCCATTGGAAGAGGACGGGTTGAGTTGAGGCCATTGGAAGAGGACGGGTTGAGTTGAGGCCATTGGAAGAGGACGGGTTGAGTTGAGGCCATTGGAAGAGGACGGGTTGAGTTGAGGCCATTGGAAGAGGATGGGTTGAGTTGAGGCCATTGGAAGAGGACGGGTTGAGTTGAGGCCATTGGAAGGGGACGGGTTGAGTTGAGGCCATTGGAAGGAGACAGGTTGATGGCCGTTGGGACCATGGTGTCCCCAGGGAATTGGAAGAGGAAAGGTGAGTCAGGTTCGTTGGAAGAGGACAGGTCAATGGGGACTGATGAGCGCAGGAGCTGCTGTGTTGGAGGGGGACAAGGGTGTCCCCTGGGCAAGGGACGATGGAAGCAGGACAGCAATGTCCCTTGGAGCTGGGGATATCGGAGGGAGGCGGATCCAGGGATGCAGGCATGCGCAGGGGACATCAGAGGGGGCCAGAAGGACACCACCCATGGGTGCAGGTCCCTCAGACCTGCAGGACAGACGGACACCCATGGGTGCAGGAACAGAGGATGAGCACAGAGGGATTCACAGGGGTTCAGGTCCATCAGAGGGGGACAGAGGGACACCCATGGGTGCACGGACAGGATGAGCACTGATGGGTGCAGGGACAGGGGATGTGCACAGCGGGACACCTGGGGATGTGCACAGAGGGACACCTAGGGATGCAGGAACATGGGATGAGCACCCATGTGTACAGGGATGCAGGATGAGCACCCATGGGCACAGGGACAGGGGATGCACACAGAGGGATGCAGGGACATGGGATGAACACAGGTGGATGCCTAGGGATGCTGGATGAGTGTCCCATAGGTGCAAGGACACCTAGGGATGCAGGGACATGGGATGAGCACCTATGGGTACAGGGACACAGGATGAGCACAGATGGACACCTAGGGTTGCAGGGATGGGGGAAGAGCACCCATAGCTGCAGGGACACGGGATGAACACAGAGGGGTGCAGGGACATGGGATGAGCACAGAGGGTTACCCAGGGATGCAGGATGGAGACCCATGGGTGCAGGGACATGGGATGAGCACAGAGGGTTACCCAGGGGCGCAGGATGGAGACCCATGGGTGCAGGGACAAGGGATGAGCACAGAGGGATACCCAGGGGTGCAGAATGGACACCCATGGATGCAGGGACCCAGGATAAGCACCGAGGGATGCAGGGACATGGGATGGATGCAGGGTCCCAGGATGAGCACAGAGGGGTACCCATGGCTGCAGGGACATGGGATGGCTGCAGGGATACAGGATGAGCACAGAGGGATGCAGGGACCTGGGATGAGCACAGAGGGATACCCAGGGATGCAGGATGGACACCCATGGATGCAGAGACACGGGATGGGTGCAGAGACAGGGGATGAGCACAGAGGGGTACCCATGGATGCAGAACGGAGCCCCACGGATGAAGGGACCTGGGATGAGCACAGAGGGGTACCCAGGGGTGCAGGATGAGCACAGAGGGATGCAGGGACCCGGAATGAGCACAGAGGGCTACACAGGGATGCAGGATGGACACCCATGGCTGCAGGGACCCGGGATGGATGCAGGGACCCGGGATGAGCACAGAGGGATGCAGGGACCCGGGATGAGCACAGAGGGCTACCCAGGGATGCAGGATGGACACCCATGGCTGCAGGGACCCGGGATGAGCACAGAGGGGTACTCATGGATGCAGGACGGAGCCCCACGGATTCAGGGACCCGGGATGAACACCGAGGGGTCCTCGGGGCGGCAGGGATGGAGCCGCAGGGCTCCCGCTCCCAGAGCTGCCTCCTCTGACGGCCCCCCCCGGCCCCCCGCAGGAGACGGACCAGCTGGAGGAGGAGAAGGCGGAGCTGGAGTCGGAGATCGCGGAGCTGCGCAAGGAGAAGGAGCGGCTGGAGCTGGTGCTGGCCGCGCACGCTCCCGCCTGCAAGCTGCCCTTCGGGGCCGCCGAGGTGAGCGCCCCCCGCAAGGAGGAGCCGGCGCCCGGCGCCCGGGGGGGCCCCTTCCCCGCCTGCTGCTGCTTCGCGCCGCCCCCGCCGCTTAACCCCAACCCCGCGTCTCCGTTTGTGTTCACCCACCCAGAGGGAGCCTCCTGCGGAGCCTCGCATCAGCGGAGCAGCGGCAGCGACCAATCCTCGGACTCCCTGAGCTCCCCCTCGCTCCTCGCGTTGTGAACCCCCCCCACATCCCCCCCCAACCAACTCCTCCTTCTCCCTGTACATCCATCTCCCCCCCCCGATCTTGGGCTCGTCGAATGGGGGGGGGGGGGGAAGATGGAGGGGTGCAAGGGTTTGGGATGGGTGCGGGATGGGTCCTGGATGCTTCTGGATGGATCCTGGATGAAATCTGAATGGGTCCTGGATGGATTCTGGATGGGTCCCGGACGGGTCCTGAATGGATTCTGGATGCTTTTGGATGGGTCCTGGATGGATTCTGGATGGGTCCTGGATGGATTCTGGATGGGTCCTGGATGGTTATGGATGGGTTCCTTGATGATGGTTCCTTGATGATGGTTCCTTGATGATGGTTCCTTGATGATGGTTCCTTGATGATGGTTCCTTGATGATGGTTCCTTGATGATGGTTCCTTGATGATGGTTCCTTGATGATGGTTCCTTGATGATGGTTCCTTGATGGCTTTGGGGTGGAGCCTTCAGGTTCCTGGATGCTTTTTTTAGGATGGCTTGGAACGGTTCTATGAGTTTTAGTTTTTCTTTTGGGGGATTGATGTTTTTTTGATGGTTTTTTGATTTTTTTTTATGGTTTTTTGATTCTTTTTTGATGGTTTTTGATGGTTTTTTGATTCTTTTTTGATGGTTTCTGATGGGTTTTGATTTTTTTTGATGGCTTCTGATTTTCATCTTTTTGATGGGTTCTGAAATTTTTATTTGAGGGTTTTAAATTTTTTTTATATTTATTTTGGGTTTTTTAATGGTTTTTGGTGGTTTTGATTTTTTTGGGCAGTTTATGATGGGTTTGGACAGGTTTTGATTTCTTTTGGATGGTTTTTGGATGATGGTTTGCTTTTTTCCCCATTTTCTTTTTAATTTCCTTTTTGCCTTTTTGGATGGTTTTGGATGGTGTTTTGGATGGTTTTGGACGGTTTTGAGATGGTTTTGGATGGGTTTTGACACATTTTGGGTGCTCCCCCCCATTTCACTCCATTTCTCGGACGGGCTGGGCTCCCGGCGAGGTTCAAGGGCAGTTTTGCCCAGCCCTGGATGTGCTGGAGGTGCCCATCGGGTGCTTTGGGGGTGCCCAACCCCATCCCCCCCCATCCCAAGGGGTTCCTGCATCCTCTCTATTCCGTTAGGGATGGCTCCTGCCCCGTTTCCACCACTCTCAAGGTTCCCCATCACCTCCGATGTGCCCCCCCAGCACCCCATGGGGGTCCCTGCAGCATCTCCATCCCTTTGGGGAAGTTCCCCCCTGCCCCACGAAGGTCCCTGCATCATTTCTGTTGCCATGGAGATGTAGGGGGTGTCCGTGGGGCATCTCCTTCCCCCTGCAGGTACCCACATCGCATCTCCCCCCGCTCTTTGGAGAGCCCCTGTGGCTCCTTCCTCACCCCAGAGCTCTTTGTGCTGCATCCCCACCGCCCCGTGGGGCTTCCTTGCGGCATCCCCAGCACCCCAGAGGTGCCCATGCTCCGTCCCCACCATTCCATGGGGTCACTGAAGGATCCCCATCACTTTGGGGGTACCCACCCCAACCTCCATCACCTTTAAAGGGGGGGGGGGTGTCCATGGTATCCCCATCCCCTCTCTTGGGGGTCCCCAGCCCCATTGCTGCTGCTGGGCCCTCCCCTTTGCCCTCTCCAGGACCCCCAGCACTTGGGGGGGGGCTCCCGTCCTGCTTGTGTGTGTGTGTGTGTGTGCGTGTCCCCCCAACTGTGAAGCCTCTGCCCCATTGTCCCCTATGGCGTCCCCTGTGGTGACCGAGCTTCGCCGCTGCCTCTGTCCTTGTCCCCCCCCAAACTTGGGTCGCGTCGCACCGCGGGAGATGTTTAGTTTTTTATGGACGATGGGTTTATGGATCATTATGGATCATTATTATGGATCATTGTGGATCATTGTGGATCATTGTGGCTGTGCCTGGTCCTGGGGCCACCAACCCCAACCCCCCGCACCCCGGCCCCACCGCGTCCGCGCTTCACCCATCCCAACGTGGCCAATAAAGCAGCTTCGGATCGGCCCCACGGCTCCTGTGTGCCTTGGCCAGGGAGGGCAGGATGGGAGAGGGATGCTGGGGATTGGGGACGGGGACCGTCGGGGTACGGGGCATTGGGGACGTGGGGCTGTGGGGCAGAGGACCTGCGGACACGGCTCTCTCCCCATTGGCCCGCTCGCCTGCCAATCACCTGCGTGGGTGGGCGGGACCTTGGCCGTACAAGCTCCGCTCCCTGCTGAGCTGCGGGCGGCCGCGAGGGGGCGCGAACTGGGGGGCGCATTCCCAGTTTAGGGGTCTCTATTCCCAGTCTAGGAGTGCCTATTCCCAATTGGAAGTGTCTCTTCCCACTTAGGGGTGTCTATTCCCAGTTTAGGGATGCCTATTCCCAGTTGGAAATGTCTATTCCCACTTCAGGGTGTCTATTCCCACTTAAGGGTGTCTATTCCAAGTTTAGGGGCCCCTATTCTCACTTGGGGGTGTCTATTCCCAGTTGGAAGTGTCTCTTCCCATTTTAGGGGTCCCTATTCCCAGTTTAGGGGTCTCTATTCCAAGTTTAGGGGTCCCTATTCCCCATTTAGGGTGCCTATTCCCAGGTGGAAGTGTCTATTCCCACTTAGGGATCCCTATTCCCATTTTAGGGGTCTCTATTCCCGGCTTATGGATGTCTATTCCTAGTTTAAGGGTGTCTATTCCCAGTTTAGGGGTGCTTATTCCCACTTGGGAGCATCTATTCCCACTTTAGGGCTCTCTATTCCCAGTTTAGGAGTCCCTATTCTCACTTTAGGGGTCTCTATTCCCAGTTTAGGGGTGCCCATTCCCACCCCCTGCCCTCAGGCCCGCCATGATTTGCACCCCTGCGTGTGTCCCCCCCCCAAGGTCCCCCCATCCCTTCCCGACATTCCCGCCCGGCGCGTCCGCTTCCGTCCCCACGACCCTGACCCGTTATTTATAGCCCTCGCTGCTTCCTGGCGGGAGCCGGATCCGGCACAAGCCTATTTTGGGAATGGAAGAGGCTGGAAAACTGCCCCCCCCCCACCCCATCCAGGACCGGGCTGAGACCTGGCACCAGCTCATGGCACCGATGGCGGCCAAGGGATGCGGTGGTGGAGCCGTGGGGTCCCTGCGCCGGTTGGGGTCGGGATCTGGGTCCGGGTCCATGTTCCCCCCCCTACCCCCCCGGGATGCCGGGAAGTGGGAGCGGGTGGATTCCCGGTCCAGCGTTGGCGCGCGGCCGCTTCCTTCCTTGTGCGAGGAGCCGCATCCTGCGTGGTGCTGGGGGTGCGGAGGGAGCCGGGTGGGGATGGGATGGGGATGGGATGGATGGGATGGGGATGGGATGGATGGGATGGGGATGCGGCGGTGCCGGCAGCTGTCGATGCGCACCCATCGGAGCTGCCTCAGAGGCGCGGGCGCCGTCGGCGCAGCCGGGCCATGGGCGCGAGGCGCGGGAGCTGGAAGGGCAAACAGCGCCCGGCGCCGGGCACCGGCAGCTCGGCGAAGAACGCGCGGTGCCGCGATGGCGACGCCGGTGCCATCAGGGCCGGGGCCACAGCCCCCCCCCGCTCCAGGTCCCGCAGCACCCCCAGGATCTCGTGTCGGGCTGAGGGGCTCCGCAGCCCCCGCGCGTCCAGCACCGCCGCCACGTGCTCCCGCCTGTGGGTCACCAGGGGGGTCAATGGGCATCAATGGCAACCAATGGGTAACAATGGGCACCAAATGCACCCATGAGTCCCAATGGGCATCAGTAGCAACCAATGGCACCAGTGGGAACCAATGGGTACCAATGGGTATCAATGGGCACCCATGGGTACCAATGGCACCAATGGATACCAGTGGGCACCAATGGCATCAATGGGTACCAATGGCACCAATGGGCACCAGCAGGTACCAGTGGGTGCCAATGAGTACTGATGGCACCAACCCCACACCAATGGAGATGAGGATGTCCCAATGGGCTCCATCACTCACCGGACATCAGGGAAGTCTCTTGCCAGGACCCCGACCTCCATCTGCAGTGCGGCCGTGTCCTCCAGCACCAGCAGCTCCCGCAGCCGCGGCACCACCGAGTCCAGCCACGGTGACGCCGAGTCCTGCCGGCGGCCAGGGCTTGGTGATGGGCTCCTCTGATGGGAGCACCCAAAGGGGCACCCACAGAGTACCCATAGGGGCATCCGAAGGAGCACCCAAAGGGCAACCAAATAGCACACAAAAGGCAGCCAAAAGAGCACCCAAAGGGGCACCCTAAGGAGCACCCAAACGGCACCCAAAGGAGCACCCAAAGGGCATCCAAAGGGGCTTTCTGGGCCTTACCAGGCGGGTGAAGAGCTCACGGAGCTGCCTGGCCTCGTCGCTGAGGCGTGCGGCCACGCGGGCACGGGCCTTGGCCGAGGTGCAGACCACGCGCCCCGACAGCAGTGGCCGCACGTACGCCAGCAGCACCCGGCGGTGCAGGTCGCTCACCAACACCTGCAGCAGCACCCATGGGTGTCACCAGCGTCACCAGTGGATGGGCATCATGAGCGTGGCACCCATGAGCGTCATTCGAACCAGCACCCAATGACTGGTCACCATGAGTGCGGCACCCATGGATGTCATCCAAACCAGCACCCAATGGATGGGCACCGTGAGCATGGCACCCATGGGCATCGTCCCAGCCAGCGCCCAATGATTGGAAAACATGAGTGCGGCACCCATGGGTGTCACCCGAAGACCCAGCACTCACCTGGTAGGGCTCAGGGTGGAGCAGGCGAAGCTTCTGAGAGAAGCTGGTGATGAGCATCACGATGGAGTCGAAGGCGTCCGAGCTCGTCAGCCACTTGCGCTTCATCAGCTTGTTGAAGTAGGGCTGGGGAGGGGAGAGGGGCTGGCACCCAAGGGTGGCACCCAGGGAGCACCCAATGGGTGGGTGCCATGATGGGCACCAACAAATGGGCACCATGAGCACTGCACCGATGGGGATCACCCAACTCAACACCCATCAATGGGCACCATAAGCATTGTACTCATGGGCATCACCCAGCTCAACACCCATCAATGTGCACCATGAGCATCGCACCCATGGGCATCACCCAACTCAACACCCATCAAGGGGTACCATGAGCATTGCACCCATGGGCATCACCCAGCTCAACACCCATCGCTGGGCACCCATTGCTCTCCACCTCCCACCCATCCCCTCCCAGCACCTTGAGGTCCTCGAAGAGGCGCTGGGTGAGGACGTGGTTGCAGCTCCGGGTCACCTTGTCCAGGGCGCCCTGGGCCTGGCGCCGCAGCTCCTCACCCTCAGGGTGCCCGAACTGTGCCAGGCGCTCGGCGAAGCTCCTGGGGGGGGGGTCAATGGGTGCTGTGGGACGTTGACCCCCCACCCCCACCCCCCAGCACCCCCATGGCCATGGGGCAGCCTCACCTGAACGTGGGGCAGCAGTTGACCAAGGCGATGGCGCGGCCGGCGGTGCCGTCGGGTGGGCACGGGTCATTGGGTGCCTCCAGGAACCGCTCCACCTTCCGCTGGAAGCTGAAGCACCCGCATGGGTCACCCATGGGTGCTATGGGACCCAATGCAATGGGCACCCAATGCAATGGGGACCCTGTCCCCATGTCCCACCTATGCAGGAAGGTCACCAGCACGCCCAGCAGACTCTGCGCCATCTCCCTGCCGAACTCGGGGGTGATCTGGGGGGCTCGATCCACATGCGCCCGCAGCAGCTGTGGGGACACGGCGACCACATCCCCATGGGGTCCCAACCACCCATCACCATCACCATAGGGTCCCTATTGGGCCCCCATCCACCCATCACCATAGGGTCCTCACCACCCACCACCATGGGCTCCCCCTGGGGTCCCCAACCACCCATCACCATCACCATAGGGTCCTCACCACCCACCACCATGAGGTCCCTATGGGGTCCCCAACCACCCATCACCACCATGCGGTGCAGTGGGGCCCATGGGTGCCCCATGGGTGCCCATACCCCGGTGACGCGCGTGGCCAGCCCTTCCTGCAGCTCCTGGCTAGTGACCTCCTCGGCCCACGAGTCCTCGCTGAGCTGCAGCTCCTGGGCCAGCGCTGCCTCCACCTTCGCCTGCCCATGGACACCAGCAATGGGGCAATGGCAATGGGGCAATGGCAATGGGGCACCAGCAATGGGGGACCGGCAATGGGGATACCAGCAATGGGAATAACTGGCAATGGGGACACTGACAATGGGGCACTGGCAAAGGGGACATCGGCAATGAGGATACTGGCAATGGGGCACCGGCAATGCGGCACCATCAATGGGGCACCATCAATGGGGACACTGGCAATGGGACACTGGCAATGGGGCACTGGCAATGGGGCACCGGCAATGGGGATACCGGCAATGGGGCACCGGCAATGGGGACACTGCAGCTGCCCCGGTGCCTGCCCCGGTGCCACCGGAGCTGGGTCCCACCTTGACGGCGCTGATGCAGCTGCTCTCGAGGCTGCGCTGGGTCTCAGGGGGCAGAGGGGGCCCCAGTCCCTGTAGCAGAGGCCCCACCTCAGGATTCCCCAGCACCTCCCTATGGAAGGGGGGGATATGGGGGGTCATTGGGGGGGTCATGGGGGGGTCATTGGGGTTCTATTGGGGTTCTATTGGGGTGACATCTGGGTGCCATTGGAGTGACATCTGGGTGCCATTGGAGTGGTCATTAGAGTCCTACTGTGGTCCTGTTGGGGTCCTATTGGGGTCCCATTAGGGTGACATTAGTCATTGAGGTCCTATTGGGGTGGTCATTAGGGTCCTATTGGGGTGCCATTGGGGCAGTCATTAGGGTCCTATGGGAGTCTCAGTGCTATGGAGGCTCTCACCAGGGGTAGAGGCCACTATAGGGGTCTCAGTGCTATGGGGGTCTCTGTGCTATAGGTGTGTCTGCTATGGGGTCTCTATAGGGGACACTGGTATGGGATCCCTATAGGGATCAGTGTTATGGGGTCCCTATAGGGGTCAGTGCTCTGGGTTTTCTATAGGGGTCAGTGTTATGGGGTCTCTATGGGGTCCCTTGTGCTATGGGGTCCCTATGGGGCTCTCTGTGCTATGTGGGCCCTATGGGGTCTGTGTTATGGGGTCCCTATGGGGCTCTCTGTCCCTCACCGGGGGTAGGCGCCGCTGTTCCACTCCAGGAGCACGTAGAGCTCCGTGACTCCGAGCGCCCGCTGAGCCGCGGCCCCGAGCCGCTGCGCCAGGGCCCGGTGGTACCCGCGCGCGTACACGGCGGCGGCCTCGTAGGCTGCCGGGAACGCGGGGGCCACGTGAGCGCGCACGGAGCTCAGGTCCCGCAGCACCCGCTCCGCCAGCGCCGCCAGCTCCGCTCCGAGCGCGGTCCCGGTCCCGGTCCCGGTCCCAGCCCCGGGCGGCGCCGCCTGCGCCAGGCGCTCCCCGGCCGCCCTCGCCGCCGCCTCCTGCCAGCGCTGCCGCAGCCGCCGGGGCCGCCCCGCTCCGCCGGGTCCCAGGCGCTGATCCGCGGCTTCCTCCTGCTGCAGGACCCGGATAACGGAGCGCAGCAACGGCAAAGGGCGAGCGGCGGCCACGGCCTCGGCCAGCACGGCCCAGAGCTGCGCCAGCAGCGCCCGGTACAGCAGGGCCACGTCCCGCGCCTGGCGGCCCGGGGGCGGTGCGGATGGGGATGGGGATGAGGGTGGGGATGAGGATGAGGATGGGGCCGCGCACTCGGCCTCCAGGGCGATGATTTGCTCATCAGCCGCCACCAGCTCCCGCCGCTGGATCAGCTCCAGGATCTCCAGCACTGGGGAACAGGACGGGACGCAGCGGTGCTGGACCCGAGCTGTGCCCCACACCGTGGCCCCATGGCCCCGCATCCCGGCGTCCTTGCGCCACCAGCCCCGTGTCTCATGGCCCCAGCCCCATGGCCCTGTGGTGTTCACACATCCCCATCCCGTTGTCCCTATACCCAAGTCCCCATCTCCACGTCCCCATCCCCATGTCCCATTCCCACCTCCCCATGTCCCATACCCACATTGCTTGTGTCCTCATGCCCAAACATCCCCATTCCCATTTCCCCATGTCCCTGTGATGTCCCCACATCCCCATCCCTTTGTCCCCATTCTCAAGTCCCGTATCCCCATGTCCCATCCCCATCTCCATCTCCACTCCCATGTCCCATCCTCACACTTCCCCATCCTCATGTCTCCATTCCCATATCCCATATCCCACATCCCATCCCCATGTTCCATTCCCACTTCCCCATGCGCCCATGTCCCATTTCCCCATCCCAACATCCCTCATGTCCTCATGTCCACACGTTCCCATTCCCATGTCCCTGTAATGTCCCCACATCCCCATCCCTTTGTCCCCATTCCCAAGTCCCATCCCCACCTCCATATCCCCATCCCCACATCCCTCCTGTCCTCCTGCCCACCCACCCCCATCCCCGTGCCTCCATCCCCATGTCCCACATCCCCTCCCCTTGTCCCCATCCCCACATCCCCCCTGCCCACCCGTCCCCATCCCCATCCCCACATCTCCTCCCCTCTTCCCCATCCCCATCCCCTTCCCTCACCCGACAGCGGCTCCTTCTCCTTTTCCTTCTCCTTGTCCTTGCCTCTCCCGTCCGTTCCCTGCCCGGCTCCGTCCCCATCTCCTGCTCCCGCCCCGTCCACGCCGGCCCCTCGCTGGCCCCACGGGGTGGGCACCGGGAGCCGCAGCCAGGACCCCCGCTTGGTGCCGCTGGGCTCCTCCTTGCGGCGCCGCCGGCCCAGGTCCTCGGAGCGGCGCCGGGCTCGGGCATCGCCGACGGGCCCCGGCCCCGGCCCCGGTCCAGGTCCCGGTCCCGGGGGGGGTCCGCGCCGGGAGCGCCCGAAGGGGCCGAGCCCCACGAGCAGCTCGAGCGTGGCGCGGCGTCGGAACCGGCTCTCGGGGCTGGCCGCGAACGGGTCTCCGGGCTCGGGGTCGTCCTCCCGGGGAGGCTTCCTCAGCAGCGGCATCGCCTTGGGAGGGGAATGGGACCGGGCTGGTACCGGGAGGCAACCGGGGGGAGTGGAACCGGGACCCCAGAGCGGGGCAGTAGCGCCCCTTGCCCGCCCCATGGGTGCAAAGCCCCGCGGCCCCTGCACACGTACCCCGGTGCTGGTGCTGTGCTGGTGATACCGGTTCAGTGGTGCTGGTGACACCGGTTCAGTGGTGCTGGTGATACCGGTGCTGGTGATACCGGTGCTGGTGCAATGGTGCTGCTGACAGTGGTTCAATGGTGCTGGTGACACCGATGTGATGGTGCTGGTGACCCCGGTGCGATGGTGCTGGTGACCCCGGTGCGATGGTGCTGGTGATACTGGTTCAATGGTGCTGGTGACACAGCTGCTGCTGCGATGGTGTTGGTGACACCGGTGTGATGGTGCTGATGATACCAGTGCGATGGTACTGGTGACGCCGGTGCTGGTGACACCAATGCAATGGTGCTGGTGATACTGGTGCGATGGTGCTGGTGACACTGGTGCCGCGCTGGTGACACTGGTGCCGCGCTGGTGACCCCGGTGACGGTGGCCAGGGGTTTCCTGAGGAAGCGGCCGCCCATGGCCGGGGCAGGGTCAGTCCCGGTTCCGCTGGGTCACCGGGGACGGGGGGGACACGAGGGGGGGACACACGGGGGGGCGGATGGCACCGGGGGCACAGAGGGGACCTGGGGGACAGGGGCGCGGGGGGACCCCAAATGCCGCAGGGAGCAGACAATGGGGGCGCAGGGGACCCCGTTCCACGCCGTGTCTTGGGGGGGCCACCGGTGCCTCTGGGATGAGACCTTGGTGGCACCGGGGACCCCATGAGCCCCGCAGATGGGGCCCTAGGAGCGCTGTGGACCCCATGGATCAGGGCGAGGGGACCCCAGTGACACAGGGGGGACCCCCTCCGGTGTTATCCATAGGGGCACAAGGGACGCGCCGCGCCCCGGGGCGGGACGGAACCCCCGGGGACCCCTCACGTTGAATGGAAGGAGCCGGGGGCACAAGGGGACCCCCCGCGCCCAAGGGCGGGACCCGACCGGCGGCACTAGGACCCGGGGGACCTCGGCCCCGGCCTCTCGGGGTTAAGTCCCGCCCCCTTCTCTCCTCCCGCCTCCGATTGGCCAGCGCATCAACCAATGGAAAAGACGCTTTGCCACTGACCCCGCCCCCTAGTGGAGGGGCGGGACGGGCTGTCTCCATGCTTGGGCTCATCCAATAGGAAGCGTCGGCTTTGCGTTGTGATTGGCTCTCATCGCCTGGTGGGCGGGGCGAGCGCGCCTATGAAAGCGCTGCTGCTTTAAGGGGCGTGGCCAGCGCCCCGTTAAGCCCCGCCCACCACCGGTTCCGGTTCCGGTGCGGCCCATGGCCGCCGCCGCCCGCTGAGGGCCCGGCCCGGCCCGGCCCGGCCCCGCCGGTCACGATGTCCTCGCGGTCGGCGCTGGCGGCGGGGAACGAGCGGAACCCGGACGCGGTGAGGGCAGGGCCGGCACCGGAGGGGGGCACCGGGAGGGGCCCGGTCGGTACCGAGCCGGGGGGGGGCGGTTGGTACCGGAACGATGAACCGGGGGCACGGGGAGGGCTCGGTTTATACCGGGGAAAGGGGGGGCACCGGGAGGGGCTCGGTCGGTACCGGAAGGGTTCGGTTTATTCTGGGGTGGGTACTGGGAGGGAGCGGTTTACAGCGGGGGTACCGGGAGGGGTGGGTCCGTACCGGGGGGGGGCGTTGGTTTATTCCAGGGGAGGGCCTTGATCGGTACCGGGAGGGGCTGGGGGCACTGGGGGGGGGGGGGGGGGGATCGGTTTATAACGGGGTGGGCACCGGGAGGGGTTGGTTTATAAAGGGGGGGCCACCGGGAGGCGTCCGGAGGTACTGGGAGGGGTCGGGACCGGCTCTTTGTGGGGGGGAGTCCCCGGGTATCCGGATACCCTTGGGAGGGATCGAGACCGGCTCTTTGGGCGGGGGGGGTGGTCCCGGGTATCCGGATACCCTCGGGCTCTGCCGGGACGCGGCTCCGGAGCCGGTTGGACCGGATGGATCCCAAACCGCGGGTCAGTTGAGGGGGGGGTGTGTGTGTGTGATCCGGGTCACTGAGAGGTGGTGGTGATGGTGATGGGGAGGGGGGGGTTTGGACGGTTCCATTCGGGCTCCCCCCCCCCCTTCCCCTTAGCTCGGCAGCAGCCGCTCGGAGAAGGGCTCGGGCTGGTCCAGCCGCTCGCTCGGCGCCCGCTGCCGCAATTCCATCGCGGCGTGCCCGGAGGAGCAGCCCCACGTCGGGAATTACCGGCTCCTCCGCACCATCGGCAAGGGCAACTTCGCCAAAGTGAAGCTGGCACGGCACATCCTGACCGGCAGGGAGGTGGGAATGGAGCCATGGGGGGGGCGGGTGTTGGGGGTCATCCTCCCCTCATCATTTCCCCCCCCCTTTCTCCACAGGTGGCCATTAAAATCATCGACAAGACCCAGCTGAACCCCACCAGCCTGCAGAAGGTGGGGGGGGGCACCCATGGGTGGGGGGGCTTGGTGTCCCCCCCTCAGTAACACATTTAACCCCACCCCCCCACCCCATTATAGCTCTTTCGGGAAGTTCGTATCATGAAGGGGCTGAACCACCCCAACATTGGTGAGTTGGGGTTGGGGGGGCACCCATGGGTGGGGGGGCACCCATGGGTGCTGATGGTTTTCCCCCCCTCCACCCCATAGTGAAGCTGTTTGAGGTCATTGAGACAGAGAAGACGCTGTACCTGGTGATGGAATATGCCAGCGCTGGTGAGAAACCCCCCCCAGTGGGTGCTGGTCCCCCTTCAGTGGGTGCCGGACCCTCTACTATGGGTCTGGACCCCCTTCAATGGGTGCTGGACCCCCTTCTATGCGTGCTGGCCCCCCCGCATTGGTCCCTGGGGGCACCCTAGGGTGCTGGGGGGGAGCTGGAGGGGGGTCTAATGAGGGGCAATGGCCACCTTTGCTGGGGGCACCCAGCACCCATGGGGGGTCAGGAGGGCCGCAGCACCCATGGGTGTCCCTGCAGGTGAAGTGTTTGACTACCTCGTGTCCCATGGGAGGATGAAGGAGAAGGAGGCGAGAGCCAAGTTCAGACAGGTCGGGGGGGCACCATGGGGACACGATGGTGGGGACATGGGTGCCACCTCCCCACTGACACCCCCTTGTCCCCCCCAGATCGTCTCAGCCGTGCACTACTGCCACCAGAAGAACATTGTCCACAGGGACCTGAAGGTGGGAGCCCGGACCTTTCCCGGTGTCCCTGTCCCCATCTCCATCCCATTCTCTCCCCACTGTGTCCCCATCCCATTGTCCTCACTGTGGTGTCCTTGTCTCCATCATAGAATCATAGAGCTCATCCCCATCCCCTTCACCATTCCCATCCCCTTCACCACCCCCTTCACCATCCCCATCCTCCTGTCCTCATCCCCATCATAGAACCCATCCGCATGGCCTTCACCATCTTCATCCCTGTCTTCCTGTCCCCATCCCCATCATCCCCATCCCATTGTCCCCATCCTTATCTTCCTGTCCCCATCATCCTCATCCCTATCTTCCTGTCCTCATCCCCATCATGCCCATCCCCATTCTCCTGTCCCCATCATCCCCATCCCTATCTTCCTGTCCTCATCCCCATCATCCCCATCCCCTCGCCCCCATCCCGATGTCCCCGCCCCACCCCTGCTGTGCCCCCAGGCTGAGAACCTGCTGCTGGACGCCGAGGCCAACATCAAGATCGCGGACTTTGGCTTCAGCAACGAGTTCCGGCTGGGCTCCAAGCTGGACACGTTCTGTGGCTCCCCCCCGTACGCGGCCCCCGAGCTCTTCCAGGGCAAGAAGTACGACGGCCCCGAGGTGGACATCTGGAGCCTGGGCGTCATCCTCTACACCCTGGTCAGCGGGTCCCTTCCCTTCGACGGCCACAACCTCAAGGTGGGCGCTGGGATGCGGCTGGGCCGCGGCCATGTGGGCATTGGATGGGGTGGGTACCATGAGCCATCCCCATAGAGCCGTGGGAATGTGACTGCATCCCACACAGCTGTGTCTGTGGTGGATGGGGGGGTACCATGGGGGTGGGACCGCATCCGACACAGCCATGTCTATGGTGGATGGGGTGGGTACCATGGGGATGGGACCGCATCCGACACAGCCATGTCCATGGAGGAGGTGGTGGTGATGCTGTTGCTATGGGTCCAGGGGAGGTGGTGGCCACCCCATATCCACCCATGGCCATGGTGGATGTCGGTCCATCCCTGTGTCCATGGAGGGGTGATGGTAGCCACCCCATATCCACCCGGGGCCACGTTGCACGTGGTGCCCATCCCAAATGTCACTTTATGGGTGCCCCCCAGGAGTTGCGGGAGCGGGTGCTGCGGGGCAAGTACCGCGTCCCCTTCTACATGTCCACGGACTGCGAGAACATCCTGCGCCGGTTCCTGGTGCTGAACCCCGCCAAGCGCTGCACCCTCGAGGTGGGGGCACAGCGGGGGGGGCTATGGGGTCCTGGGGGGGGGGGGGGGTTGGGGGGTCCCAATGGGTCCTGGGTGGGGAGCTTGGGGGGTTCCAATGGGTCCTGGGTGGGGGGGTATGTTTGGAGGTTTCCAATGGGTCCTGGAGGGGGAAGGGGGTTGCAGAGTTCCAATGGGTCCAGGGGGATCTCAGGGGGGGTCTTCCCATGGGGCCATGGGGGACTCTGACCCAGAGCATCCCCATGTGTCCCCCCCCCAGCAAATCATGAAGGACAAATGGATCAACATCGGCTATGAGGGGGACGAGCTGAAGCCCTACAAGGAGCCCGAGGAGGACTTCGGGGACACCAAGCGCATCGGTGAGACCCCCATGCCCCCCTGTTGTGGGTCCTGTGGTGTCCCCATCGCCCCCCATTACCCCCCCCTTTGTGGGTCCTGGGGTGTCCCCATTGCCCCCCATTGCCCACAGAGGTTATGGTGGGCATGGGCTACACGCGGGAGGAGATCAAGGACTCCCTCAGCACCCAGAAGTACAACGAGGTGACGGCCACCTACCTCCTGCTGGGCAGGAAAAGCGAGGTGAGCACCCAATGGCACCCATTGGCACCCAGTGGCACCCATTGGCACCCATGGGGACCCATTGTGTCCCTGCCGCAGGTGGAGGCGGGGGACACCCGCACCGGCAGCACCTTGTCCTTAGCCCGGGTGCGGGCACCCAACGACGTGGCCAATGGCAAGAGCGGGGCCGGGCACGGCAAGAGCCAGCGCGGCGCCGGCACCTACCACCGGCAGCGGCGGCACAGCGACTTCTGTGGGTGCTCCTATGGGTGCTCCTCTGGGTGCTGTGGGTGCTCCTATGGGTGTATGGGTGCTCCTGCAGGTCCTATGGGTGCTATGGGTGCTCCTGCAGGTCCTATGGATGTCCCTATGGCCCAGGGAGGGGTACTTTGGTGTACCTGTGGGGGGTGCTATTGGGGAGGGTGTCCCTGTGGGGGCTATTGGGTGCCACAGGGGCGTGCTGGGGTGTCCCTATGGGTGCTATGGATTTGGCACCGTTGCTATTGCTATGGTGCTTCACTGTGGGTGCTGGGGGGGCGCCATGCGGGACGCTATGGTGTGTTCTATGGGGTGCTCCTATGGGTGCTATGGGGCACCCATGGATTCTGACCCCTCATCCCTGCCATAGGTGGCCCCTCACCAGTGCCGCTGCCCCCCAAGCGCAGCCCCCCTGGCGCAGCGGAGCCAGAGCTGCGGGACGAGCGGGGGGGGCGCAAGGCCAGCAGTGGGGCCATGGGTGGGGGGGGGCGCGGGGTCACCCCCCACCCCTCCAGCCCCATGGTCAGCAGCGCCCACAACCCCAATAAGGCCGAGATCCCCGAACGGCACAAGGACGGCACTAGCAACGCCGTGGGTGCTGCGGGCACCTATGGGTGCTGGGGGGTACCTATGGGTGATGGGGGGAAGCCTATTGGTGATGGAGGGAAGCCTATTGGTGATGGAGGGGTCCTGGGGGGGTACCTATGGGTGCTGGGGGGGGAACCTATGGGGGGCTGGGGGGGAGCCTTTTGGTGATGGGGGAGTGATGGAGGGCAGTCTATTGGTGATGGGGGGGGATCTGTGGGGGTCCTGGGGGTCACCTGTGGGTGATGGGGGGGAACCTATGGGTGCTGGGATGGTCCTGGGGGTTACCTATTGGTGCTGGGGGGCTCCTGTGGGTGATAGAGGGGACCCTATGGGTGATGGGGGGGAACCTATTGGTGCTGGGATGGTCCTGGGGGTTACCTATTGGTGCTGGGGGCTCCTGTGGGTGATAGAGGGGACCCTATTGGTGATGTGGGGCACCTGTGAGTGCTGGTGGGGGATCTATGGGTGATGGGGCTCCTGGAGGGTACCTGTGGGTGATGGGGGGGAACCTGTGGGTGATGGGGTGATCTGTGAGTGCTGGGGGAGCTCCTGTGGGTGCTGGGGGGTCTCTGTGTGTGGGGTGACACCTTGGCGCCCCCCCCCCCCTCCCCCCCCGCAGCCCAACGTGCCCTCGAGCGTGATGGGGCGGCGCAACACCTACGTGTGCACAGAGCGCCCGGAGCGTGGCCCGCTGCTGCCCAACGGCAAAGAGAACAGGTATGGCCCCCCCGTGTGACCCCCCGGGACCCCCCTGTGACCCTCCTTGTGACCCCCCCCCCATGTAACCCCCCCCTGGAGCCCCCCTGTGACCCTCCTTGTGACCCCCCCCCGTGTAACCCCCCCGGGACCCCCCCTTATGACCCCGCCCGTGTGACCCCCCCCCTTGTGACCCCCCATGTAACA